GGCACTGCTGTCCGCAGCGTTTGCCACGGCTTTCCGAGTGGCGTTGCTGTTGGTGGCACTGCCGTCCGCGTTGCTTTTGGCTTCTTTCCCATCACTCGAACTGCGGGTGGTAGTAGTAATGGTTATTCCATCATTGCCGCTGGCGGGAGGGGCGGCGTTGGGCGTGCCAGATCGGCCTTGGGGGGTTGAAGGCGTTTGTGTACCTCCGGGTCCATCTGCTGCCCTGTCTGTTGCCTGTGCTGGCGAAGCCGCAGTGCCAGCCGATGGCGTTGGTGTTTCCCGACGACCTTCTGCTGATGATTCCCGACTTCCAGTGGGACCCGCCACAGTACCCGGCAGCCCTGCAGGAGCAGTGGGTTCTTCAGGCACCGACCGACCGACGCCTGATGGATTGTCCTCGTGCTCAGTTTTGACAGGGGCTGGAGGTGGTGGCAGTTGTTGTGGCGACGATTGTGGTGGTGCCTGTGGGCCGGCTGGTGCCTGTGGGCTCTGAGGTTGTGGTAGAGACCGCACTTCAGCCGCGGGAGGGCTGGACGTTGGGGACGCACAATCGCCGGACCCGCCGAGTGGATCCTCGGCTGCATTGATGGTGACGGTGCCGCCTTCGCTCTTCGACAGATTGTGCAGCGCACTGTTTGCGGCCGCCGTACAGTTCATCGTGAACGCAACAACTTTATTCGTGTCCCCATCTGCTGGCTGGGATGCAGGGCAGTTCCGCGTCAGGGACGTGTCCAGGTACGCCGATCCGGCAATGAGGCAGAGGGTATTACTGTAAGCAGCGCTTTCAATGCTCCCCGCACCCGTCACTGCCTGCGGACACTCATTCCAGTCCGAATTACTCTTGCCAGCAACGCGCCAACGCAACTTGTTGTCATTCGTGTTCGGGCACGACACCTCCACCGACACATTCACATTGGCCGCAGGCCCTTCAGCATTCGCCCCGCACAGAAACGAGGCGCAGAGCAGCGCAAGGAGCGCCAGGGCGCACACCGCACGGCGCCGCACCGCCAGCGCCATCAGTAAAAACAGCGGTGGTGGTGGTGGCAGTAGCGTCGCAGCAGAGCCAGTGGGCTGCGGGGCAGCGAAGAGGAAGAAACAGAGAGAGAAATGGGGAGCGCGGTGGGGTGCGGCGCAGAGAGTGAGGGCAGGGGGAGGGAGGGAAGAAAAAGGCGGCAGCCCACTAAGTTCACGCAGCAGCGCCCTGCAGCCGCACG